ATATATAAAATTGGTCTTTTTTTAACTTTATTTTTATTGTTGACACTATTATAGATGTCCCCATCCCACTCTCCTTTGCCTACCTCCTTTTAACCTAAAAATATATCCTGCTCATATACCACTGAACTAACATTTATTAATAGCCTCCTTGTATCAAGCATTGTGTTAGCACTCTTCTCTCTCCTATTTCCCTCACACTATTACTAAGAATAAAAGCAAAATGTAATAAATCTTTAAATTTTAAGTAATCTCATGATGTCTCCTTGCAAAGGACTTGACAAATATGTGTGTGTGCGCGTGTACGTGTTATTTTTGTCTACTGTTAAAAATATCCTGTGCGTTGTTCTTAGAATTACATAGCTGATTAGAAATGTCCATGTAAGTGTTCTTTGTGAATTGAAAGCACCAGCTGCCTGGTATCAGGTGGGAGTCACAGCTTCCAGGCGACCATCTAGTTCCTCATTGCTAAGAGGACTTGCCCGGCAACCATGAGTGTTTTGTAATGTGGGTAAGCAAATTCCATGTAATTCAAGCAAACAAGAGATAACTTGGAAAGTGAGTTATCAACACCCCCTGACTGATTGTTTTCCTCTTGGGAGAAAAATTGCCTGTGTTACTTAACCTTTCTACACTTCAGGGTTTTCTTATTTTTCTTAGAAAGCTGTTTTCATGCCAAACTAAATTCATCTCAGGATAATTTCACTACCTATCTATCTGTTCTTTTCTGATCCCTAGTAATAAAATTTCTTGATTGTTTCAAAATAAACTAAGTTAAATCTGTCTTCTGAGGATGTAAGAATTTGTATTTTTCTACTCCATATCATCCTGTTAAATCTCTTGTTGTTGTTTTTTTACATTGTAAAGCCTATTCTCTATTATCTGCAGGCAAATGTATTAATATAGGATATTTAAAGAGAATGATGGTTCTTCCATCATTAGCTTTTATGCATTTCAAGTTAATCTAGAAATAAGGAAATACATGTCTCGATGCTAGATTCTGAAACACAGTGTCTATTCAGAAACAGCCTGTTTCATTGCAAGGATTTGAAAAGAGACACTGAATTTATTTCTTAGTAATGCTTATTATAGAGTATACAATGAAAATATCTTATATAGTGTGACATTTATTAGAATTGCAAACTTTCTCAAGGGAAAATTACTAGTCCATGAAAAAACTTGGGAAACTGATTTCTATAAACCAAGCATGTCGTTCTTACAATCTAATGACCTGGTTGGTACAGATTGTTTTACTTTATGATCCAGCAAGAACACTAAAAAAAAAAAAATTTGTTAGAACATTCAGAACGTTTGTAAAGGACATTTTATGAAAGAATAAAGCCTTTTTGTTATTTTCCCACGGTGTAGGAGGCTGGGGGGAAAAAGTGAAACAAGAAAACAATTTATCAAATTTCTGAAGACTTTAATGTTCTTATTTTTTACGTTGAAAGCAATTAACATTTTTACTTTAATAAACAATATGGTAACTTGCTTCATAAGTCATAGAGTTTAAAAATTATACCCTAAAATGCTCCCTTTTGTCTGTTTGCATCTCATGACACTGCTTTGCCCCGACCATCACCTGTTAACTCTAAAAGTACATAGGCCTTTTTTGTAACTTTACAGTTCCTTAATGTACATACAATCAAATATTAAATATGCTCTTTCCCTCTCCATTTTTTGTAGACAATTCTTTTCACTTACCAATATGTCTTTCTAAATTGATATGTGGCAAAATGCTCATATTTGTACTCTATGGAATATTATTTCATTAAATGAATAAATATGTTCTATAGATGGGTGTTTCAATTGTTTAGTATCTTTTTCTATTATAAACAGTACTACCTGACTAAACGAATATATATATTGTGTTGTTCTTGTGCTAGTATGTAGGATTAACTCCCCAAAATGGAACTTCTGAATCAAAGGCATATACTTTGATAACTTAAATAGATATTGCTCAGTTGCCCTCCATCAGAGTTATATTAATTCATGCTCCTTCCAGCAATATATGAGTTCCATTTCCTCACAGTTATGCTAATAGAATGTGTTATCCAATATTGGGGCTTTTTTTCTATTAGGTGATAAAATATATCTGGATGTTTATAACTTGCACTTCTTACAAATAAAGTTGAGAATTTTTCACATATTTCATAATAATTTGTGAATTGTCTTTTTTGTGAGTTGTCTATTCACATCCTTTTGATTGTTTTCCTATATATTTAAAAAAATCATTTTCTAAGAAATTCCACATACATTTAGCCTTTGCCTGTGATATGAGTTGCTATTCCCCCACCCCCAGTTCGTTGTTGTCTTTTGGCTTTGCTTATATTGCTTTTTACAGGCAGGCAGCTCTGTTTTTGTGGCTGAATTGATTTGAACCAGTCTCCCCGCCCCCCACCCCCTCCTGCCAATGACTATATTTGGAGACTTAGTTACAAAAGTCCTCCTAAGTTCAAGGTAATAAAGAAATGTATCATATTTTCTTTTAGAACTGACATATATTTCTCTTTCTGCTTTTAGTCATTCTTTTTTCTAGTCATGCTCTTGAGTTATAATTCTTTCCATTTGTCTTTACTGAGTCCTTTATGGCTAAATGATCTGTCAGTCCCAGAAAGTGTGATTTTCGCATTTTGGATACTGACCTATGGAATATCTGAATCCGTGTATTACCTGGCCAGGTGTCACTGGGCATCTACTCTATTTGAAAAGAATGTGAGCAGTTCCATTTTCTGTGTTATTCCAGAGAATAACTAAAGCACTCTGAATATGTGAGGACTCAGTTTTTCCTCGATTTTACAGCATCTTGTCTTGCAATTTATCATTCATGTCTCTCTACTCAATCAGATAAAAGGTTATTTACTAACAGATACTTTGCTTATGGTTGATTGTTCCCAATAAAGTCCATTGTTCCCAATAAAGACAGAGTGTGCCACTAAGAATTAGGTTTGGCTAGCTGCGAAAGATGGAGTGATAGGAGTTTATTTCCTCGCAGTGTAAAGGCAATTTGGATGCAGGCAGTCCTTAGTTGGTAGAGCTGCTCCATGAAAACAAAGACCCAGACTTCTCCCAGCCCTTAGCTCTGTCATCCCAAGGGTTTCACCTTTCTGCTCATGGTCCAGGACAGCTAATAAATGTGAGATTATGGTAAATATCTATATCTAAAATGTCTATTCTCCTGTAGGATGACGAGAATATGTGGTTGGTTTTTGTCTTTGTCCTTATTTGGCAAAATAAAAAGTTGGCAAACTTATGTTGAGGCCCCTGTAGCTCCCTCGCCACAAGTACTCATTTCCAATCCCCGACAAAGTTTCAAATATTTTAAATGGGTCCATGAAAAGTCAAACTTGGAAACCACTGGCTTGGAAACCAGTATTCATCTAGAAACTAGAACAATGAATTAGAGACATAAATGAAAATAACCTTTCTCCTTACGTCTAAATATGATCGTCATACCAAAAGGTGAAGTCATTTCGGTAATGTGAGCTGAGAAAGGTACTTAATAGGTGCCTGACTCAGTCTCCCTTTCTGTAATACAGGAACATCTTCATAATATGCTAGAGCATTAAATGAAAGGATGATTTCAGTATTATTTTATGAACTCTGATATAAAAATGAAACTATAACTAGTATTTACTGAACTGTGTATACTGTGCTCAAGAGCACAGATTAAGAAACCACATGCCTGGCTGGGATAAACCCCAGTTCCGCTTGGTGGCTGTGCAACCTCTGTGTGCCTATTTCAGTTTCCTCATCTGTAAAATGGGATTCAAATATTTACTTTAGGACAGGGATTCTCAACCAGGGGTGATCTTGCTCCCCAGAAGACATTTGGCATGTCTGCAGACATTTTTGGTTTACACAACTGGGGGTTAGGGTGTGTTGCTGACATCTAGTGAATAGATGCTAGGGATGCTGCTAAACAGCCTGCAACACAATCCCCCAGCACCACCTATCAATAGTGCCAACACTGATTTAAATGAGATGATATTCGTAAAGCACTTGGAACAGAAACCACTACTCCAGTGTCAGTTACTATTATGACCAAGAGTTGTACTATGAGCTTTATTTTCTCATTTTATTTACACAACTCCTATTGTAGAGTTACCATTATTATCACTATTTCATAGATGAGAAAATTGAGATTTAGGAGTGAGTAGGTACCTAACTTGCCCCAAATCATAATTAATCAATGATTGAATCAACACAGAAATCCAAGTTTAACCGAAAACAAATTTCATGTTTTTTACACTACCTAAACTGACCCCCTAGTTTATAAATTAGAATCCTTGTTAAGGAGAGTATGCCTTAAGTTGACCTACTAAATCCCATATTATGCTGTCTCCCAGTAGCCTGTATCTGGATAATCCAGTCCAAACTGTTTTTCATTAGGAAGTAGATCTAACTCTAACAAAATTAATCCCAATTTAGAAAGCTGTTTTAGAGTCTGTCTTTCAGAGAAATAAAATGGACTTCCTTGTAATCACTGGCTACAGATCCTTCTTCAGTTGTGACCCTAAAATGGTAACACAGGAGTTTTAGAGCAGTGAAAATGCTCTTATAATGATGATTACATGTCCTTATAGTTTGTCCAAACTCATAGAATGTACACCACGAACAATGAACCCTAACGTAATGATAATGACGTGTCAATATAGGTTCACTGATTTTAACAAACATACCACTACGGTGAGTGATATTGATAATGAGGAAAGATACGCATGTGTGGGAGCAAGTACCTATGTGAAATTTCTGTACTTTCAATTTTGCTATGAAAAACATCGAATTCCTTAAAAAAAAAAATGATAACCATATTCTCAGGACATCAAAATCATAGCACATGTTGTGACCAAGAATTTTTGTGCTGGTTGGTGGGAGGAGCTATAGAAGATGAAATGCAGATAACAGAATTTAAGGAAAGTTATGATGTAGGAGAAAAATTATTTGCAAAACTGACTGAAATCTTTCAGAAACCATTAAAGGAAAAACTCCAGAAACAGAAGCACACTACCATCGTTAATTTATTTGTTCAAGGACTCATGTTGCAAGCATTACACCAGGTATGGGCTTTGATTCTGTAAGCCCAGGTTCACATATTTAGGAGGATAAAAGCAAACTGTGATCCATGTTCATGGATGGAAACTAAAGGCTCATGGTTAATCACATTGTAGTTCTTAAATTTCTACAGCCTAGAACCCTGTAGTCACAGGTCTTTGAGGTCCTTCTGGATGTTCCAGAGGGTATCTGCGCTTTTCTTGAGTTGAGCAACCTCATCATCCTTCAGTTTCTGGTTGATTACACTGGTTAATCCCCGAGCATTCAGAATACACGGGAGACTCAGGAAGACTTCATTCTCAATGCCATACATCCCCTGCCAGACAAGAAAAGCACTTAGATTAAAGAATAAAACCAGAGGTAAGAATGATCCTAGGTCCTATCTTTGAATAGAAAGAATTGTAGGAAATGTGAAAGCACAAACTCATTCTTTAGTTTTCATTACTTACAGGCTCAGATTTCCCTAATACTTCTGTTTTGAATTAGGTTGTATACATAGGAAAGACAAATATACACTCTGATAAAACTAGAAATTTATTAAGAAAGTAGTAAGTGCTTTATTGAACTGTATGACAATTCTCTCTCTCTTAGGTAGATTTTAACAGAATTTGATATATGTCTTCAAATTAAATTGCGTTCAAATGTGGTTCTTAATGGGCTACTTTTCATGAAATCTTAGGTTTCTTAAAATTCTTTAGTTAAGAAAATTTCAGGTGGTAGCCAACCTATAAGGTCCAGAATAGTAGTTGGAGGTCACTCAAAGGCAAAATTCTTATAACACCTCAGAGTTGCTGGAAAAGAAAATAGTATAATTCCCAAAAGCTTTACCAGTTTGTATAAACTAATTTATTCACAGGGTCAATTTTACTACACAATTAATTAAATTATTTAATAATCAAAACAAGTAACTTTAATAAATTTTTAAACTTTTAACTTCCAAAAATCTTGTACATATACCAAAGGATAGAGAAAAAACAAATTCTTACATATGCACTCTAAAATTCGGCAATGAATCTACTTTTGCCATATTTGTTTTTAAGAAAATCTGACACCATGTTTTACTCCCAAATGCTTCAATATTTATCTTTTTTGTATGCTTCTTTTAATCTACTGAACCACCCTCCTTACTTTTTCACCCTAGCCAGTGACTTGTGGAAAATGAGTTTTCTTTCACAATTTTTTAATGCAATTCTAGTTTCATGTGAAAACAATCAATTTCTATTTAACTATTTCATGGCTTTTGAATTAAACTAAATTTACTTAGGTATCAAGTGCTACATCATATGCAATCTATAGCTTAATATGTCAACTTAAAATAAAACTATTATACACTTATTTAAGTGATCATTAATTGTGAGACTATGCCAATAAGATTCAGAATTAATATTTAATTGGCCACCTCACACAAAAAGAACTATAAAAATTTATTGGATGTCTTAGCCTCTACAAGTTTATGTTCTTATTATCCTTGGATTTCTGTAGGAAGAGAAAAAAGTCTCCATAAAATTTTGAAATAAGAGAAATAACTGTGGGCTGAGACCTTATCTTGTCCTTCCTTAAATGACTCGATTTATAGACTACAACACTAGACATCACTTTCTATTTTGTAACACTTTGTCTTACCTTCACCATCGTTGATACTGGATGAATCCTGGATAAATTTTTAAACATGGATTCAATGAGATCAGCCACACTTAATCCAATAGCCCAATTGGTGTATCCTTTTAACTTGATGACTTCATAGGCACTAAGAAAAAAAATATGTCACAAAAGAGATCACTGAAATCATACCCAATAGTTATTAAAACCAGCCTCTTTGGGTTTAACGCCTGCTCTGTCTCTTACTATGTAATCTTGTTTAAATTACTTAACCTTCCTTGTCTCAGTGTCTTCTACAAAATGAGAGCGACAGTGGATCTATTTCATAAGTTTATTAAATGAGTTAATATGCATGTAAAATGTTTAAAGTATAAACACATTATGGTAGGTGCTATGTAAATGTTTTGATAAATTTAAATAACAGTTGGATAAGTGATTATAAAGTCATGGTGGTAAAAATGTACTTTTTCCAACCAATCTTCTTATTCATAGACATGAACATTTCCAAAGATATTAATGAAATCAGGAAACAATGAAAATAAATGAATCTTCATATTCAAAGGACAAAATATATCTTGATTTTGAGGTCCCACTTACCAATGTCATCTAAAATACTATGACCAACTCAGTTAAGGGCAAGGTGATAGCAATATTTTGCCTGGAAATTTTCTGAACACAAAGTGTACACCACACAATGCACAAAGGGACAGGTCCTTGAGGGGTGGGAGGAGTAACTATTAGGAAGTTGGGATCTATCACTGACTAGAAGACCATGTGCAAGTTACGTCACCTGAGTGAGCCCTAGTTTTCTCATTTGTAAAATAAAGGGTCTATATTATCATTATACAGGTCAAATTCCTGGGGGGGGGGGGGGGGAATCATTAAAATAGATCTAAATAAAATAATTCCGTATTTGAGATATCAGTTAGTTTTGTTACAACTCTCTGTAATTAACAGCTAACATTTATTAAAATCCTATCAATAATAAGTATGTGCATAGGTGTGTGTGCTTTTACTCAATTTGTACAATAATTCTATTATCATTTGACTTTACAGAGGAGAAACCCATGATTCAACTTAAAGGTTAAATGGCTTCCCTAAGACTATATAGTTAGTGTTAGTGTTATGAGTTGAATCCAGGGCCAATGACACCTTGTTTTATGATAAGCATAAAGGTCACAGAAAGAGAGATGGGTTGCTCTTAAGAGAGTTTCCAGAAAAAGAAAATGGAAGGAATGGGAGACATCTTTATCTGAGTATGGAAAGGTAAATATAGCGCAGCTTAAACACTTTCAACAATCAATCAGCAAGTATTTATTTTAGGCAATTGGGAGACTAGTGGAGTCTAGGTTTACTTTCTAAATAGGACAGACTTATCTATCGACAGGAGGCATTTTGAAAGCCCTTCTTACTTGCTAATTCTATGTATTGTTTCTGTTACCTCTACAACAGAATTTCTCTAGAAAAATATTTACTTTCCCTACGGCGACTGGCATAGCAAGCTTGACCAGTATAAGTGAGTCTTGTCTGTTTCAGTAGATAACAGCTGCATATTTACTTTAGTAAGAGTTTATCTGAGCAGGCAGCCGTGGAAAGTGTTTATAATTTTATCTAAGCAAAGATAAAATTAATTGTCTTAAATCAAGCCCTCTTCCACTTACCTTTCAACCACCATCTTATGCACTTCCTTCCAATTTTCACTGTCATTGTCCGTTCCCATTGCTGGATTCAGTTCCTGGAGAGAAACGCCTGCCACATTCACTCCACTCCACACAGCCACTGAAAAAAATTAAAATAACTAAAATAAACATTTTATATGTTTCTAACACTATTTTCAGAAACCTTTTCTTCACTTAGTTCAGGTTTCACCTCTGATGGAAGCTACCCACTTGAACTGCTCAATGACAACTGTCTCCAGTATATTTTCCCCTCAAAGCTGCCGTTAGCATCAAATAGCCACACATCTGAACTTCTAACTTTCAACCTTTGGGTACAAAACAGAATTATTGTGTCATAATTAGAGAATATGGACTTCTTGTTTTTCTCTAGGTTTGTGAAATCACAAGGGATTCTGGTTGGAGGCTATCCCAAAATTTTGGCTTGAGAAATTTTTAACTTTCCTCCTATTTATTTTTGTAATATAAGTCCTCCCTCGCTTTTTTTTTTTCCTGGAGTAAGGTAAAAACAAATCTTGGGAAGTCTAAGTATCTCTTCTTATGCCTCAAGTTCAGTCTATATCTTTTTTGGTGGTGTTAATCCTCACTTGAGGATATTTTTTATATTGATTTTTAGAGAGAATGGAAGGGAGAGAGACAGAGAGGAGAGAGGGAGAGAGAGAGAGAGAGAAAGAGAGAGAGAGAGAGAGAGAGAAAGAGAGAAAGAGAGAGATTGGTTGCCTCCTGCATGGGGATCGAGCCTGCATCTGAGGTATGTGCCCTTGACCAGAATCGAACCCATGACCCTTCAGTCCGTAGGCCAATGCTCTAATCACTGAGCCAAACTAGCCAGGGCCAGTCTATTTCTTAAAAGAAAATTCATGTGACCACAATGAATTTTTCTGGTCTTAATTGGATCAAAAATTTCCTTCCAAGAATGTCTCCAGAGGCATAACAGACAAGGTGATCCTCTATCATTGGCTATAACTCTGGAGGCTTGGATGCACCAAAACAACTCCCTTGCCTATTCTTAACACCTCCTGCCCAGCCAAAAGCATATATTGAAGATCTAGGCATACAAAGATGAATAAAGACATGCTCTATGACAGTGGTTCTCAACCTTCTGGCCCTTTAAATACAGTTCCTCATGTTGTGACCCAACCATAAAATTATTTTCGTTGCTACTTCATAACTGTAATGTTGCTACTGTTATGAATCGTAATGTAACTATCTGATATGCAGGATGGTCTTAGGCGACCCCTGTGAAAGGGTCATTCGACCGCCAAAGGGGTCGTGACCCACAGGTTGAGAACCGCTGCTCTATGACATGGACAAGCTTAGAATTTACCGGGAGAAACAGACAAGTAAAGGAAACAAAAACAATGGATTAAGCTCTCACAGAAGTATGGAGAAAGTGCAATAAAACATAAATAAAGGGTCTACTTAATGTAGGGGGGAGAGGAGTGACAGAAAGGGGTACAACATATAGGCATTGGAACTGGTCCTCAAGAAATAATAAGGACTTTTGGGGGAAAGCACTGGAGACTCAGGAAATATAAACAAATGCATGGGGTGACGTCTAGCTCCGCTATGAATGGAGAAGTTGCCCATGGCCAACCAAAGCCTCTTTTAGCCCAAAACTTTTGCAAAATCAGGCCAACTGTGGAAAACAAACATTTTCATGGTTTATGAAAGCTATGAGATCTACATAAATCACTCAATAATGAGCATGGGTTAATTATTTTTCATTTTATGTACATAATATAGGGGGGAAAGATGTTTTGGAAAAAAATGACATAGTAATGAATGAATGGAACTTGGTCAAGAGTCCGAAGATCTGATTCTAGTTGTAATGATGCCACTAACTACAATGATCTTCAACAAGCCACAACGACTGCTTTGCCTCCATTTCTTCCTCATTAAAATGAAAGTCTTGAACTAGAAGACATGTTATTACACTTCTAGATCTGTGGTTCCAGAAATTGTATATTTGTAATGACTAGCATTTATTAAGCTTTTACTATACATCAGACACTATGCTAAATACTTTATATAGGAAATAAATTCAGATAAATGCTTGGATATGAAGAACTCTTGAATAAAGTAGTACAATGTGTCAGAAAAAAAAAATCAGCCTCATTATATAAAAATGCACAAATGCAATAATTGTGAAACCAAATTCTTGTAATACCAGGATAAACTCATTACAAATATCACATTACAAACTCCAAGTAAATCCAAAGGAAAATTTATACCTTAAATTTGTATACTGGGCAGAAATAAATTTAGTAAAACAAAGATCATTGTTATCATTATTAATATTAAAGTTTTGTATTAATATAGTTTTATACAATAAGCTTATTCAATGTATGAAATTCTATGTTTAATAAATAAGCTTAGGGTTATTAAATATAATCACAATTGTCATAAATGTTTTTAACACAAAAATTGTTTGGAAAATATTAATTTCAATGAAAAGAAAAATATAAACTTAAAATACAACATTTAAAATAAATGATGTTTAACTCTTTCAGAATAAACCATAAAAGAAACAGAAGTGCACTATTATTTTAATGTTGGTATTGTTGCAGTTAGGAATTTCTGTCCAATATTTCTATTTAAATTCATAAAGAAAATATTTGAGAGATTTACCATATGCTCTCTTACTACTTAAATGATTAATAGTTATTATTAATGGTTTATTAAAACTCAGATTTCATTTGAAGCAAGATTTATTTTACATTATTGAATAGTAGACACTGGTTATTGAAAAGCTTTTGTTACCCGATTCATCCCTCTTTCAGTCAACAAGATGGCTATCATAGCTCTGTCCACTGAAAGGGTTTAGAAACAGACATACCAGGGGCATGAGCACCTATGCCAGATCTTTCTTTCTAAATACCATTCCCCTTAGAAGGAAACAGAGCTCATTGGAGAAAGAGATGATTCCAGTCTGGGAATGGGAAAGTACGAGATGAACCTGGTGCACTTTATTGTTAGAGAAAGCAAGGAAGGGCTCAAAAAATGGCGAGACATCAAAAAGACACAGCATGTATGTAATACTTTCAACAATAAAGATTTTAAAAAATAAAAATAAGTCACAGCACTGGAAAGAAAAAAAAAAAAAAAAAAACAGGAGTCAGCCTAAAGAGCCCATTCTTTGACAAAGCTGAGATAATTTATGCTTTATGACAATGGTGACAGAACTTTTGTGGAATAAAATAAAAATCTGAGTCTACATTGATATACATAGATGGATAAATAAATGGAGAAGGGAAAGCTTTCTCTTACACTGGAATACAAACAATAAATACCGAAAAAATGAGTGGATTAGAATATGATATTTGGCATCATTATAGTAATAACGCATTTAACCAAGAATAACTAGTTAATACTAAATTTAGCAGGCAAAAAAAAAAAAAATGATGAGGAATCAATTATTTCCCTAGTCTATATAAAATTATCCCCCACAAATTACTTATTTGTACTGTTAGGTATGCAAAAATGCATAAAAATAAAATTTAAAAACAAAAAAAAATCAGCCCAGGCAGTGTGGCTCAATGATTGAGCATCAACCCATGAGCCAAGAGGTCCCGATTCAATTCCTGGTCAGGGCACATGCAAGAGGCAGCGGATCGATGTCTGTCTCTCACTGGCGTATCTCTCTATCCTTCTCCCTTCCTCTCTCTCTAAAATCAACAAAAACATCTTCAAAAATTTCAGAATGGCAAGAATAATATACCATAAAGTAGTACACAGTAAATATTGTCTGTTTTTTATATTAATTTTTTTTTTACCACTTGAGTCGCCATGTTCTCCCAAAATCCATCCATGGCAGCTGCTGGGATGAATGCCAAGTTTTTCAGCCATAAGGTAGCGAAATCTAGCAGAATCCAGATTACATCCACTTCCAATCACACGGTGCTTGGGTAATCCACTTAGTTTCCAGGTAACATATGTGAGAATATCCACTACAAATTTTAGAAAAATATATGCAAGTAAATCAAAACTGACTTCGACTGCTATGTAAATTAGTGGATGCCCCACTTCCTGCTCTCCCACTTCCCCATTCTCCAAATGAGATGTGCCTATAAAAACGTACTTTGACTTTTCATATTAGAGATAATGGGGTTTAGCGAGACAAGAAAAATGCAATATTGTGCTTTTTATTTGTTAGGAGAAATGAGAATTTCTTACTTGAAATGAGAATATATAAGAACCTAGCAGATTAATTAATTTACTGTATGTGGAAAGAAAAAGGGTTGAATTAGATCACCCCTTAAGTTTCTTCTAATTCTAACAGTCCATGACTGTTAGTGACTGTCATCATAAACCAAAAGGCATTGGTTACCAAATTACCAAGGGATGCTACTATAAATTTTCCCGGGAACAGATACTACTTAGTAAATAATTGTTATAATACAAGATATTAACATTTCCTACTACTTAATAAAAAGATTTCTATGACAGAGCCTTCATTCTGATGTGGCTCAGCCTTGAGACTGCACAGAGGCAAAACTTGTGGTCACAGTACTTACAGGCTAAGCTGTAAAAGTAGGAATATGCGCACACAAGCAAGGCAAGGGGTTAATTTTGCAGTCTCCATCTCACAGTCATAGATAGACACTGGCTAAGATAGTTTAAGGTCATTATGGACTAGATATTATAAACCCTTCCTTGGCAACTTGGATTCCAGCCAGTCTGACTCCTGGGAGAGTTAAAACTGTGAAGCTACCCCTGGAAAGCGGTATAACCAGTTATTAATGTCTGCCTTAGGTACAGGACACAACAGCTTCATTATGTGCCAGGCATTTCTCATTCCTGTCCTACATCTATCTGCCACCGTGAGAACATTCAGATGCAGGATTGAACTATTTAATAAACTGCGGCCCAGGATTACAGAGAATAAGAATACTAAAATAACCTCTGTCTTTGCTGGCTTTCAACTCTCAATATTTCACAAAGTATTAGGATTGTGAAATATTATTCACAATCTTTCTCTATATGAGCTGTCAGAGATAATCAGTTTTACCATTTTATCAATGTATCTATTATGCTCACCAATAAACAATAAGTTCGGTGGCAAACTATAGACATAAGAAGTGTGAAATAGAGAGTAGACTTTGACTGTGTAGGCTAAAATAATGCAATTCTTTTTAACCAGAAGTGTTAAGTTTTAACAACATTTGGTGTTAGCATGTGTTTGTCTATTTATACAGCCTGTTTCCATCTTTAAACCAGGACTAAATAATGATTTTCTTAAACTCTGTTTCAAATTTAATATGATTCAATTTTGAAGTTTTAGAGATTAGGAAAACAAAAAGTCAGATATGCTAAAACATTTCTTAGAAATTGAAGCCACGTTCAAATGTTTCATTATGTACCCTAGGATAATCTTTATAGAAATTTTAAAAGCTTTTAGACTCTACAACAAACCCAGATTAAACAAACAGATGAAACTGCTTTATATACCAGTAAAACAATTCTCATATTTTTAAACATTTGGCCTGGGACAGTGCCATTAGTTCTGCAAACACTCTTTTAGGGCCATTAACAGAAGACATGTGAGTTGCTTCTGCTAGTGAACACCAAGACAGATTTTCTTAAATTCAAAAAAAAAAAAATAAAACAAACCCCGAACACACTGAACTTAACATAACTGATCTCTTAAGGCATTCAATTACCTGGGTTAGAAACCACAATTATGATGCAATCAGGGCTGTACTTGACGATCTGAGGAATAATGAATTTGAAGACATTAACGTTCCTCTGCACCAGGTTCAGACGACTCTCTCCCTCTTGCTGGCGAACTCCAGCAGTTACCACCACAATCTTAGAATTGGCGGTCACAGAGTAGTCTAGAGGGAGAAGGCAAAAGGTACTTTAAATACAACTCTTTTTCAAAACAGACCAGGTGTGATATGCCCCCAAACTATCTCAGCATTCATAAGCTTCTAGAATTTACATGAGAATTACGTTTTCTGTATTAGAAGGTTTTACAATGCTCCTGTGGCTCCTTCCTTCTATAGGGAAGCATTCCAAACATAAAACTGGTTCGGAGAATGTACCAGAAAATAAAAGAGGTCTTAAATTATGTCTCTGGCTAAAAATTTCAACTTGCAATTGACTTTATAGAATATTGCATTGTCAGTAATAATACAAAGCATAAACGGTGAGTCCAACAGGCAGCCTTTCAATAAAAAAAAAAAAAAAAAAAAAAAAGCAGCCTGGCTGACATGGCTCAGTGGTTGAGCATCGACCTATGAACTAGGACAGTGATGGAGAACCTATGACACGCGTGTCAGAGGTGACACGTGAACTCATTTTTTTGGTTGATTTTTCTTTGGTAAATGGCATTTAAATATATAAAATAAATATTAAAAATATAAGTCTTTGTTTTACTATGGTTGCAAATATCAAAAAATTTCTATATGTGACATGGCACCAGAGTTAAGTTAGGGTTTTTCAAAATGCTGACACACCGAGCTCAAAAGGTTCGCCATCACTGAACTAGGAGATCACGGTTCGATTCCCGGGCAGGGCACATGTCCAGGTTGTGGGCTCAATCCCCAGTGTGGGGTGTGCAGGAGGCAGCCCATCAATGATTCTCTCTCTTCACTGATTTTTCTCTCTCTCTCTCTCCCTCCCTCTCTGAAATCAATAAAATTAAAAACTAAAAGAGGAACCAGCCTCCTTTACGATTTAATTACAAATTTTTTTTTTAAAAAAAAGCAATTTAAAGGTGCCTTTAGGTCTATAATGTTAATTCAGTCTGTGATGGGGAAGGAGGGAACTGAAGTGTTTAATTCTTGGCTAGCAATTAATTTCTAATACTCAAGCTTATTCACTTGGAGCAGGGCGTTTCTCTGGAGGACGTGTCCTTTCCCCAGATAGAAAGACATTATGATTTGATGCAATCATTAGACTCTATAGCTATGGACGATTCACAATTAAGCTATGCTGCTATGTAACTTTTGACAGTCATTAATATTTTATCAGTTTCCTCTCCCATAAAACGGAGGTAATAGGATCTACCTCTCAAAGGGCTGCTATGAGGATGAAGTAAGATGAGCCATGCAGAAAGTTTCACAGTACACAGACTGCTCAACAATTCAATCAGTAACAGCTCTTATTGGTAGGAGTATTATTAGACATTACCTTGGAGCCCACATTTCTGTATCTTTAGGCAGAGCCATGCTGTGCTGGCAGAACCATTGCATAAACCTACTCATCTAGAGCAGACGGCTGGAACATGAATGCATTTAGCTTCATCAAGGCGCTCAAATAAATTACTTTGGGCAAATGTATTTTTCCTGTCTGAAACCTTCCTATTCTCAGACACACATAAACAAACATCATAATACAATTTGCTAAAATGTTATGTGCCAAATGTGTGGAAGCCACATGGATGTTTACAGAGGTAATACTTTTGTGTTTGTCCTCCAGAATGAACTGGAACCCAAAGGAAAGAAGAAACTGCCAACACTAGATTCACCACGATGGGAAGACTAACGCTGTATCCGGGGCCGAGGATATCAATTATTAGAAAAGGTTGCATTGGGCATGAAGTAACACTACCTTTATCTGCCACAATTTTAGGTGTCTGAAGAAATAAGCTTCCATGCTGCAGATCCATCATTTCTCCTTTGAGTTTATCTTCCAACACATCCACAAGGGCCAGCTCATCAGCCAGAGACTACAATCACAAAAACAGGTGTTAGTCCCCTAAGCTACTCTAGGATAGGTAACCCAGCTCACAATACAACCCAGAACCCTTTAAATGGCTAAGAGCCAAATGTCTACAAACCTTGAGACTTTAATCACAGAGGTTAGGTGTGCTCTTGAAACAAATTCATGATAAAACATCTTGAATAATGAACTATTAATATTCAAGACACTGATTTTTCAGAATTTCATTCTAGTATTCAACTAGATTTTGACACAATGCAAATGGCTTTAAGAATATGTAGATGTAAATATTGCTGCTGAAACCAACTTGATTCAACAGTGGCCTCAGGGTGCACAATTCTTCACATTACTTGGGGATGGTGACAAAGAGATTCACTTAGACCCAGGAACAACCTTGGGCAGAGTGTCCATCCCTGAGGTCACCCCTAGTGTGGAGGGTTTCTGAGGGCAGATTTTTTTTTAAAATATATTTTATTGATTTTTTACAGAGAGGAAGGGAGAGAGATAGAGAGTTAGAAACATCGATGAGAGAGAAACATCGATCAGCTGCCTCCTGCACATCTCCCACTGGGGAAGTGCCCGCAACCCAGGTACATGCCCTTGACCAGAATCGAACCTGGGCCCTTTCAGTGCGCAGGCCGACGCTCTATCCACTGAGCCAAACCGCTTTCGGCAGAGGGCAGATTTGTAACAATGAAAATACATTCTGCATATCAGATATTTACATTACGATTCATAACAGTAGCAAAATTACAGTTATGAAGTAGCAACGGAAATAATTTTATGGTTGGGGGTCACCACAACATGAGGAACTGTATTAAAGGGTATGGCATTAGGAAGGTTGAGAACCACTGGCCTAACTCTTGATCCAGTATCATAATTTCACATGTTTTATAAAAGGTCTTATACATAACATATTTTACACAGTTATATTTCTCTATATCTCTGCATGAATAGTGGGGAGAAAGAAAAACAAAACTCTGGATTCTTCCTTTCAGTAATCATGCATGTTCTTCAGCAAGTCCTTGATTTTTTCTTCTTTAAAAGTGGGCAGGGTGGGGGGGGGTAAGGTGGATGGGTGTCACTCTCAGGGGTGGGCAAACTTTTTGACTCGAGGGCCGCAATGGGTTCTTAAACTGGACCGGAGGGCCGGAACAAAAGCATGGATGGAGTGTTTGTGTGAACTAATATAAATTCAAAGTAAACATCATTACATAAAAGGGTACGGTCTTTTTTTTTTTTTAGTTCCAGATCCGGCCCATGGGCCATAGTTTGCCCACGGCTGCTCTAGATACAATTAAATAGCCTTTCAGCTTTGAAATTTGGTTATTCTATGGAAATCCATTATTTGCAAAGTAAAAAGTAGCTATCCTTCCCAGTGAAACATCACTAGTCTTTGCCTCTGCTGTTTTCAGTAGGACTGTTTGCAAAATAATTAGCTTAATATGATATGTCAGTGCTGGAGCCCACTGGTAATGGGAGTTCAGGAAGAACTTTGAAGGATAAGGAGTAACCTTGGGTGGAACTGGTGACCAACAGAGAGAGAAGAAGGAGAGAGTGGTGAGATCGCCAACAAGAAACTTGATCTACTTTTGCTCGGCCATCAAAGCAGGTCCCGCTCCCTGCAGGAGCCAAGGAATGAGGACAATCCTGTCTCCAGAATCCCAATGGCTGGCTAGCCTCCAGAAGTGAGCTGTGAGGGTTTGCTTGTGATGGTTTATCTGAGACTCGAGCCTCCTTGTGATGGAATGTGTTCTTAGTTCCAAGCAACAACTTAACTTGCAAATTTTCTGAAATCACCCTTTTATGAGACGGGAATTACTTGTAAATATTTTCTTATTGACATAAATGTCAAACACTGGCATTAATTTTCATCTATTTTTACTTAAACACATTTTAACCCTTTTAAAATGGTTTTGTTTCTTTGCAGCCTCTAACAAGGTCACACAAAACCCTCATTCATGTTGTTTTTTAAGTCCTACATTACACAGTAAGTCCTCACTTAACATTGTTGATAGGTTCTTGGAACTGTGGTGAAATGATCTATTTCGAAACCAATTTTACCATAGGCTAATTGATATAAACAAGAGATAAGTTCCTACAGCATTGCATCAATGTTATAATGAAGCATTACTTGGCAACCCACTAAGTTATGTTCAATACAACTTAATAATAGCACTAGCATTCTGTCAAGGTACTGAACACAAAGAACATCACTCTTATTTTAGTAACATCACATGTGTGCTGGTGAAGGCAACAGGGCAAAACAATTTGGGGCTTAAGTGGAAAAGGATATCACAGGATCTCAGATCCTGTCTTTTATTTCAGTGGGTGTAGAGAATTGGCTGAGCAGTGCCTACACAGCTGGCAAGGAAGGAAGCGATCCAACACTTTAAAAAGTAATTGCAGCGCCGAATTTAGCTGCATCTGCACCACTGAATATCCTCCAAGTGTGGAGGCAGGCACATGGAGCACGTGTGACTGAGGACGGATGCTGCTGTTCGGCTTAAACAATTCTCCTGCAGTAACTTTCACTTAGTGGATAGCCCATGAATTTACCATCTATGTATTCCACTTAAGTTGTAAATATATTTTTAAATATTTGAAACTGCAAGACCCAGATTAATTGCAAAAGCAATAATTTATTTAGGAATAAGGCCAGTTGAAAAGCACGACCATCACTGTGGAAATGTCTACAAAAATGTCTTTTAGTCTAAAGTATCGTGTGGACTGGGCACAGCGATAATCTGCCTCTTGGTTCTCTTAGCTAGTAAATTCCTGCCACCAATGCTTTAATATTTGAGGGTTGCATTTTTTAAACCCTCACTTGAAGACATGCTTTCCAATGATTTGAGAGACAGGGAGAGAGAGAGAGAGAGAAAGAGAGAGAGAGAGAGAGAGAGAGAGAGAGAGAGAGAGAGAGAGGAGAGAGAAACATCAAAGAGAGAGAAACATCGATCAGTTGCTTCCTGTACACACCTGGACCAGTGATGGAACCCGCCACCCTTCAGTGCCACCCTACTGGACGATGCTCCAACCAACTGAGCCGCACTAATGATTGCATTTTTATTTTGAAGTGTTTAGGGTGCGTGAAATTTGTGGTAGGAAAAGGTGTAACTTTTTTCAAATAATTAGCTAAATGGATAAGCACTATTTTTCAATAATTTGTTTTTTCTTCTCCTCTGGAATGTCACTTCTATCATTTAATATGGTTTGGGCCTGTTTCTGGGCTGTTAGTCTGTTCCATTAACCCGTCTATTCTTATACAAATTCCAAGTTTTAATTAAGTCCCACTTGTAAGCTGACTTTGCCTATAAAAACCGCTTTGTAGTATATCTGTAATTACTTTGCTCCTTCTAAGAGACTTCTTATGCTGCTTGTTCAAGAAGATGGCTGAGGTTGACGATCAAGAACAGACACTCGCCCTGGCCAGTTTGGCTCAGTGGATGGAGCGTCGGCCTGCGGACTCAGGGGTCCCGGGTTCGATTCCGGTCAGGGGCATGTGCCTTGGTTGCGGGCACGTCCCCGGTGGGGGGTGTGCGGGAGGCGGCTGATCGATGTTTCTCTCTCATCGATGTTTCTGACTCTCTATCCCTTTCCATTCCTCTCTGTAAAAAATCAATAAAATAAAAAAATAAAAAAAAAATAAAAAAGAACAGACACTCAGACCAAAAGCAGCTGGGCACAGAAGCTCAGGGTAGAATTTTCATGGAACTGATATGTGATCCTGGGAGGCTGAGGAGGAGCTGGCAGCTCCATGCAGAGTTTGGGATTGGTAGTGGGGCAGAAGTCATATTTGGCAGAAGCCATGAAAAAGGAAAAGCTATGAAAAAATTCAGCCAAATGTAAATGCAATTTACTAGTAATAGCAGGAATATTCATTTATTTAATATATATTTATTGCTGAATGTGCCAGGCATTATTCTACTCATCAGGAATACAGGAATGAACAAATTTAGCAAAGTCCTTGCTCTCATTAAATGTATCAGGAAAAGAATAGGAATGAAGCAGACAATTTAAGATGATTCTGATGATGCAAGTGCTTAAACACCAGGGGCACAGTGATATTGAAGTTACTGGGAAGTTCACTTTGTATTGGAGAGTCAGGGAAAGCCTAACTTCAAAGGCATGATATCATTGATAGGGAGGGTCACCTCTGTGACGGTCTGGGGTAGACATTCCAGGTGAAGAGAAAACCAAGTGAAAAGGTTTACACAGAAATCAGCTTGATGTTTTGAAGAAATAAGGCAGAGGGTGAGAGATGAGGTTGGACACAACGCCACCATGTTGCATCAGCAGGTGCTCCTGACACCGTGGATGGCGCCCCCTAGAGTTGTGCACTCCGCTGCTTTGCCCTGAGACAGGTAGGGAAAGATCCTTGAGGCCTTGCAGGGTCTTTGCATGTGTGTAGCATACGTGCAACTGTGGCATTACTGAAAAGTTTAAGTAGGAGAGTTCCCGTTTTTATAAAAGCTCGCTATGGTTATTATGTTGGCAATGAGGGTCGGGGGAGTGGGAAAGAGCACAAGCAGAAAATAGTTAACTGAGTCTTCGTAATGTTGGGACACGGTACTAGGGGCCTGAGCCGCCTTCACAGGCCTAGCTGAGGTGTGGGCCCCCTCAACCTCTCTATCTCTGATGCCCTAGCCAGGCTCAGTTTCTGGGCCAAAGCAATGTGTGTCCGCTGTAAAGCACACCAGCGATGAACTCAAAAGGCCAGGTCTGGCGCTCACTATCTATGTGATCTTAACTAAGTCACTTAATCTTTCTGAGTCTTTTTTTTTTTCCCAACGAAAATACATAGATGACAATCCCCTCCCAGAACTTTCATAGAGAAATGAAGCAAAATACAGAGACTGAACAGAGTAGGCACTGTTCATTTCCTTTCTCTGTTAAACTAGTGGGGTTTATAATCCTCAGCAAATATCAATACCAATTTTGAAGCACTTTCATGCTTACTCATTAAAATCAGATTTAAATATTTTTAATTAATCAAATGGACTTTGAACAAGGCAGTCATTCCCTCACAGCAAGCATCTGAATTGGAAGATTCCTACTGTGTTAGCAGCAGGGTCTGTTCTCTCAAGCACCGGAAATGGGCCAAAGTATTATATACCTGCAGATACCGTCTCAATTAAATTATTTACTAGGGAAGACTTCAAATGTACAATTAAAACAGTCATAGGATGCTGAAACCGGTTTGGCTCGGTGGATAGAGCGTCGGCCTGCGGACTGAGGGGTCCCGGGTTCGATTCCGGTCAAGGGCATGTACCTGGGTTGCAGGCACATCCCCAGTGGGAGATGTGCAGGAGGCAGCTGATCGATGTTTCTAGCTCTCTATCTCTCTCCCTTCCTCTCTGTAGAAAATCAATAAAATATATTTTAAAAAAAATAAATAAAAAAAAAACAACAACAAAAAACCCAGTCATAGGAGTACTCATAGACTCATGATAGCTCACATACAGGTTTCTGAAAAATGTAAATTTTGAGATTAGCAGGAAGAATGAAAAATCCTTAGCTGGTATTGCATTAATACCTTTGTTTTTAACCACCCAAATACTAGTACAGAATAAAGAGAAATTTCAGTCTTGGGTTCAAAATACAGTTCCATCATGCCCCGGGAGGTTGCTCAGTGGTTAGAGCAGGGGCCCCGCAGATGGAGGGGTCATGGGTTTGATTCCCCATCAAGGGCACATACCCTGGTTGCATGCAGCCTAGGTCAAGATGTATGTGTGTGTGTGTGTGTGTGTGTGTATGTGTGTGTGTGTGTGTGTGAACCAATCTCTCAAGTCTATATTTCCCTCACCCCCTCCTCCCTCCCTTCCACTCTCTCTAGAAATCAATGAAAAAAATATCCTCTGGTGAGGATTAAAAAAAGAAAAAAGTATATTGTTCTGCCCCCACCAGTAGACTGTGGGCAGGCTACTTCATCTCAAGTCTCAGCCACCTCAGCTGAAAACAGGATAGGGCAGCTCCCACTTCTTCAGGTTGTTGTTAAAAACGAAGCATTTTGGTTAAAATACTTTGAATAGGTTACACACTCAAATGTTACATAAAAGGGACGTAAAATGGACTACGTTTAATTTTTACTGGCATGGACAGTGAGCACTAAAGCGTGGTTATTTAAATTCCCTGTAATTTGGGAAGCAGCTATCCTACTAGTAAATCACAGGCACCTAGTCAATTAAAATGAGCTAGAAAAAAATGCAAAAGAAAACCTTCATTATCGCACCCTACATATTTTAGTTGATTGCTTTGATAACTTTTCTCAGTGGAGATCCAGAATTTGTTCCTTTATAATTTGAACTTTGCAAATAGAAATATGCTTGGTGAGGAGTTATTCAGGCAGCCTTCCCGTAAATACAAAGAGACAGTGTGTTCTAAAGACAAGGCATTTTTGCTTTTGGAGGGGTGTAGGTAGTTCCTATATTGAAGGCACCCTTGAGAAGGAACAAGAATGAATTCAGTGAGGTAAACAAGAAAAGAACTCTTTCCTCAAAAGTCCTCAGAAACTAAACAAAGCTAATTATGATTTAAAGCACAACAGAATACAAGGCAAGCCCCAAGTCCATGGAAGTATAAAGGAAAAATATAGTCTGGAGTGGAAGGTGCTAATAGTATGATCTCAACGTTAAACCTCCTGATATTGATAATCGCATTTGTTATGTGAGAATATCTGAAGATGTCCTATTTTAAATAAATATACTCTGATGGATTTAGAAGGGTATGATATCTGCATTTGATTCTCAAATGGTTAAAAATGAATCCACTGTGTGTGTGTGTGTGTGTGTGTGTGTGTGTGTGTGTGTGTGTAGAGAGAGAGAATATAATAAAAATCTATGAATTGGTAAATCTGGATAAAGTGGATATGAAAGATATAGGTGTTTTTGTTTGTTTGTTTGTTTTACTATTCCTTACAAATTTTCTGTAAATTTTAAATTATTTCAAAATAAAACAATTGGGTAAAATTTTGAGGCGAATAATAGGATATTTCCATGACCTCAAAAAGCCACTGTGCACAGTATTTATTCATTGTAGAGGAAAAGGGGAGATTTGCAGTGGAGAAATCTTGCAGTCACCACCAGCAATGAGACGAGTTGAACACCGCATGACTCCCAGTGTAATGTATCAGGAAGAATATTACATCATCTACTCATGACCCACCCGAAAATATTAACCTGAACGTAATTACAAGGAAACATCAGACCAACGTACGTGGAGGAACCTTCTACAAAACTGACATGGACTCTTCAAAAATGTCACTGATATAAAGACAAAGAAAACCCAAGTAATAGTTCTGAATTAAAGAATAAAGAGATGTGACAAGTATATAAAATATACTAGAGGCCCGGTGCACAGAAATTTGTGCACTTGGGGAGGGGGGGGGTCCCTCAGCCTGGCCTGTGCCCTCTCGCAGTCTGGGACCCTTCGGGAGATAACGACCTGCTGGCTTAGGCCTGCTCCCAGGTGGCAGAGGGCAGGCCCAATCCCTAAGTGCAGCCCCTGGTCGGGCTCAGAGCAGGGCCGATTGGGTGTTGGGGCGCCGCCCCCTGTCATGTACAGAGCAGGGCGGATTGGGAGGTTACGATGCCACCCTCAGTCACGCTCAGGGTAGGGCCGATTGGGGGGTTGGGGCACTGCCCCCTGTCACACTCAAGGCAGGGTCGATGGGGAGGTTGCAGCGCCACCCCCTGTCACGCACAGAGCAGGGCCAATCAGGGGGTTAGGGCGCTGCCCCCTGTCACGCACAGAGTAGGGCCGATAGGGGAGTTGGGGCACCGTCCCCTGTCACACACAGAGCAGGGCCGATCAGGGGGTTGGGGCGCCGCCACTCTCACACTCAGGGCAGGGCCGATGGGGAGGTTATGGCTCTACCCCGTCACACACAGAGCAGGGCCCATGGAGGGGGGGGGGGGGTTGGGGTTCCACACCCTGTCACACACAGAGCAGGGCCGATCAGGGGGTTTGGGTGCTGCCCACTGTCACGCTGATCCCAGTGCCGGGAGGCCTCACGGCTCCGCTGATCCCGGTGCTGGGAGGCATATTACCCTTTTACTATATATCATAGAGGCCTGGTGCATGGGTGGGTGCCAGCTGGTTTGCCCTGAAGGGTTTCCTGGATCAGGGTAGGGGTCCCCACTGCGGTGCCTGGCCAGCCTGGGTGAGGGGATGATGGCTGTTTGCAGCTGGTCACACACCCTTCAGGGTGGGGGTCCCCACTGGGGTGCCTGGCCAGTCTGGGTGAGGGGCTGAGGGCTGTTTTCAGGCTGGGGGTGACTGAAGCTCCCAACCGCTCCTTTTTTCCTTTTTTTTTATTTTTATTTTTTATTCTGGGCCAGCTTTAGCTTGAAGCTCCAGCTCTTAGGCCTCCACTGCTGAAAGTAGGTTTCTGGCCTTTGCTTACAATGTTGCGATCCTACTGGCTGAAGTCCGGCGGTATTTGTTACATAGTTTCTTAAACTGCAGGCTCAGAGGCCTGCAGCCGCAGGCGGGGAACGTTGGTTTCCTCCGTCACTGAAGCAAGCAAGCCTCATGTTAGTTTCAAGCTGCCTGGCTGCTGGTGCCATCTTGGCTGTCAGTTAATTTGCATATCTCGCTGATTAGCCAATGGGAAGGGTAGCAGAGTGACACTAATTACCATGTTTCTCTTTTATTAGTGTAGATGATCTTGGATTGGGGTGAAAACAGCCATAAAAAGCATGATATTGACAGCTGGGAAGTTTTAAATCTGGGCACTATATATTAGATAATAGTATTACTAGTATATAAACAGCTCCCTAGGAATGTTAACTCTATTGTGTCATATAGGGATACTGTCATTCTCTCAGGAGACACAGGCTTACATATTTGAAGGTGCAGTATCATGCCTACAACTTACTTCAAATTATTCAGGAAAAAAACATCTTTTAAAGATACAATAAAAACCTGAAGAGCCTGAAGAACACACGCTGATAGTGTCCAGCATGTACGGTGTTCTTAAAACGTACCTTTCCCAGAATGCTGATGGCACAGGCCATACCAACTTGTCCAACACCCACAACAGTGATCTTATTGTTTGGGGTTGTTGCCTCTTCTTTGGCAACTGGTGCAATCAGTTTTTCCTTAAGAGTCGCCATTGTGCCCTGTAAGAAAAGAATCAAAATATTACACATGAAATTTGAATGGGAACTATCCTAAAAATGTTACTACTGCAATTAAAGTACAGTTTAAAAAGAGCGTAATGGACTGCTAGGACACAGAATTTACTTTAAAGAACCATGTCACTCATTTAATGGAGAACTTAAGATAAGACCTCCATGAAGCTGTTTGAATTTGGGTTCTTCTCTTCAGTCTATGATTCCGTATTAGTATTTAACAAGTTGTATTTAACAATTTTTGTCTTGTGGCTATTCATTCACTGGCTAAAAGACAAAAATATTTATATTTAAACAAACTGATCTTTCTATTCTCCTTCTAAAGAATTTATATGTAACTATGTAAACTAAGTTAGAGCTCACTATTAACCCGTATTTAAGCTTGGTCTAAAAACATTAATGGCCAATTATCAATATAATTTCTACTAATGGTTATTATCACACATGGAAGATAGGGACTGACTTGTTCTTCTATTGTTTTCTCCTACTTAAATCTTATGATGATGATTTTTTAAATTCTCAACCAAGGACATGTTCATTGATTTTAGAGAGAGGAAGGGAGAGAGAAGGATAGAGAGAAACATTGATCAGTTGCCTCCCGCGACTGGGGATGGAACCCATAACTCAGATATGTGCAGAGGACAACACTCCAACCAACAGAACCACCCAGCTAGGGCTACTTAAGTCTTATTTAAAATGTGTCACAGTGTACTGAATATACAATGTGTGCTTAAATAAATACAGTGACAATAAAATAGTGATGAGTGATGTTTGTGCAAAAGGTGTCCTCCCCCCCCCCCCAAAAAAAAATCACCCTGAATTCCTTTTAGTGTACCTTGGAAGCTTATTGAAAGGTGGTTAGATAATTATATATTTTCCTTTCAGGGGGTTCTAATAAGAGATTATCAACCTTTGAATTAGTTTCTTTCCAGTCATTTTATTAAAAAAAAGCTCCCAAAAATTAAAAAAATAAATAAATTGAAAGCTATGGGAAAACATTCTACACAGTAATACCAAATTTATCTGTGCCATCAGATAATTAGGTACCCTTTCTGAATACTTAAAACAAATCGCAAAATTTACTGTACCACCCTGCCTTCTTAAAGATCATTAGTAAGCCTCTTCTTCAGAACTAAGTATCAGTTATCATCGTGACCCATTATAATGTCCATTATTTATGTTTCCTTTTACTTATAATGCTAGACTGTCGCCTTGGCGGTCACTGTGCCTGTTTCAAATTGCGCCCCTGCCTCCCAATCCTGTTTTTTTGTTTCTAGTCTGCAATAAACTAAATGACAAAACCTAGTTTAGCAATTGTATATGTTAAGAGTTAGTAAGTCTCTGAGTTGGAATAAAGTACTTAAATTTGGAGACAACTGTGTAACAACTATTTTGTTCTAAAGCTACCCCCACCCCCAAAAAACCCACATTTTCCTAAATTGATCCTTTAGCCTTTACAGAGCACATTTGCATTTCTTGTGGATGCTAGTGAAATCCAGATCAGCATGCAACTGTCTTTCCAGATGACCTTACAATGAAATTCATACACGTCCGGCATTTTTAGCAGAATCAGAAGAATGCTGCCTCTCTTCTTGTTAAACAGAGGAAGGTACAAATGCACAGTTTTTCTCCATTAAGTTGCTTTAGATCCTTCAGGTACATAGAGGACGCAGAAAGCAATGGAAAACAATAATCCAGTAACGGTTGCTACATAAATACCGACCGGTTATTCAGATAGATCTTTTAAAATCAATTTTGGGAATTTCAGAAATTACAATTTAGAGGCAGTACAGATTCTTGCGTATCTTTCTGGAGAAAGTGTTTTTCTTCAATATTTCCTTCATACAAGTTACTAAAAAATTAGAATAAAAGGTTCTGTATGCAGGACTGTGCCAAGGTCAGACTGGTGGCTGTAAGGAAAAAGAATGATACGCAGGGTAAAAATAACCTCTGATTCTTGGTCCTTCACAGTGCAGTCCCCCTACCCCCTTGTGCATAGAAGTCATTAGAAATAAACCAGTGCCTTAAGTTCAGGAACAAAGACCCCCTTACGAATAGCTCTCCATTCTAACTTTTTAAAAAGCCATGTTTGCCATCTAATTCCTCCACTAAGGAAGCGCCGGCCCTCCCCTCCTCCTCCCTCTCCCCTCGCCCCCCTCCCCCCTCCCCCTCCTCCTCTCTCCAGGCCCGAAGTGCAGCCTCCAGTGCTGGCCGCCCACAGGCCACCTCTCCTCCTGCGCCCAGGCGCCCGCAGCCCCGAGGGGCAGGTCACAAGGGAGGCGGCAACCGCAGGTCTCCTCGGAGAAGGTCTCCACGGAAAACGTCGAGGCCTTCCTTACTCTCAACACCCAAAGCTGCAAAGTAAACACAGCATCCCGCGCATCCAGGAAAAAAAGGCCCGGAAGGCATCCGTCTAGAGCTCTGGAAAGGACAGCGTCTCCAGCTGCGGGGCCAAACCCGAGAGCAGGTCAAACCTGCAGGTCATCCTTGACCCTCCTCGCCGCCAGTGCAGGGCCATTTCTCCATTCTCGCGGCAGGAGATCCCAATGCCCAGGTTCAAGATCAGCCAGCCTTCGCCTATCCCCTCGTCCCTCCTTCCTCCCCTGGCTCCTCAGGCACTGGGGGTACAGTGACCGCCCTGAGCCCATCAAGGGCGCGAGCCCGGGGTTTAGCTGCAAATGAAAGTCTCCCCCCCCACCCCCCCACCCCCCCCGCGCCCCAGGAGCACGGGCCGAATGCGAGCCCCGCTGCGCGGCGGCCAAAACTGGGGCTCGGCCGCACCGCCTCGGCTGCACCTTGCTCCCCCCGCGGAAGGCAAGACCCGCAGCCTCGAACCCACGGGCTGAGCCAGGACTGGAGTCCGGATGCTCAGGGCCGAAGGCCGTAGAGGACATCCCCCTGCTCAGTTCTTCCCTCTCTCTCGCAACACAAGGACTCCCCTGTCTGACCCTCCCGGTGGCCTCTGAGTCAGGATGGAGGATATGGAGCTGAAACCTACCAGGAGAGAGAAGGCTGCTCAGACGGTGGGAAGAGTCGCGCCAAGAAGGCAGTTTCGGCTGCGAGCGTCTGTCTGCTCGGGCGCAGGCTCTGCAAGGAGGAGGAAGAGGCGGGCCCGCCTCCCTGCAGCCTCGCAGCTTTCTCCTTTGTGATTGGAAACCCGAGCACCGCCCACCCCTCCCCTCCGCTCGCTCAATCCCCTTCAAGGACAAGGGCTCCAGTATGCACATGCCCTCCTCCTCCCCAAAACGGCAGGTCACCTTCTGCTGGCGAAGGCGGCCCCGCTCCCCGCCGGCGTGACCGCAGCCAGAGGCCGCATGATGTCGGAAATCAAGCTTCGCCTCTTCAAGACTTCCACGCTCTCATTTCATCCAAATAGAAATAAAATTCAATTTCGCTTTTCTGGTCGACTTTAGCAGACTACAGTTTCTAGCTAAGATGTTGAGGATGTGTTCCCCGGAATAGTGCTGGTGCTTCGGAATGTTTTCAAAATAAAGCAGAATTTTCCACTTTCAGCGTCTCGGTTATAAAGCTCATTTGATGCAACAATTACAGGAGTGTGTGTGTGTGTGTGTGTGTGTGTGTGTGTGTGTGTCTCCTCCCTCCCCACACCACCACCTAATTCAGCCAATGTGCCTGATTTGCCTACTCGTTGCCTGAGGAAGTGAGGCCTAGAGCCTGTTCTCCCCAGTTCTCTGCAAATCTATATGGTCTCACCAGAAACTGAGTAAGGCTCGGTTTCTCTGTTAGTCCCTGGTAACTCCAAAGATGCAAGTTGCCATTCATCTCTGTGTCTTCAACACCCAGCTCAGTGCCTGGTACCTCCATACAGTGCTGGCGAGTGAGGGAATGAATGAATGAATGAATGAATGAGCAGTTGGAAGTATCCCGAAGGTAACAAATTCCTGAGCTCAAACCAGAGAGTGTGTGTGGCAGAGATTTTTACTCCTCTTGTCCTGGGAGGCTGTTTCCTCTGGGTGTCTGAAAAACATCGGTGCATACCTCTTCAACTAGACATGTCTCACTCGTGGAAGAAATGCTTCCTTGCTGTCTCCTACTGCGAGAGAGAGAAGTGTTTGAAAGGTACCTCAGGTGAGCTTTGTCTTGATCAGGGCTCAGTCCTCAGGGTGATACTGAGAAGGAAATAGTCACACAGAGTGAACTATTGTGCACTAGATTAGAGCTCACGGTGTTTTGCCTGGAGCTTAACCTGCAGGCAGGCCAGGTCCAGCAGAGCCAGTCAGAAATCAGAACTTGTCTACCTCCTCCCAGCTTGTCCTTGAGGTCGCCTGGGACTGCTTCTGGGAACCCAGATGAGAGGCGAACACACACACATACAGTCAGGCCACAGCCAAGGGCTTCATTGCGTGAAGCCTCCCAGTAGCCATTGACATCGCCCTTTCAGAGAACTGTGACCTCTGATTCTTTCTGGTGCCAAGGGCTCTTGTTCTGTTGTTATAAACACTTCTTTTCTTCTGCTGGAGACCCTGTAGGAAATAAGTAGTTTTTCTGCGTCCTGGCCCGACACATTTAAAATATTATTTTTACCAAATAAAAGATAAGAAAATCAAATAGAATAAAAGTGCTTACTATAAAATACACAGCCCTTGCTCCTTCCCTCTCAGGCCCGGTCTGGATCCTCAGAGATGACTCCTCTTGACTACTTGAATTGCAGGCCTGAAGGGCAGCTGCTCTTTCCCTTCATTCCTTGTACTCACTGAAAATATGGTTGAGTAACTAATCCTTTAAAGCACATAAGTTTGAGAGGTGGAAAGTGTTTTCCTTGAGATTTTAAACTGAAAATCCCTGGGATTCTCTTGCCTGAAGTTTTCTTAGAGTTCTATGTATAAAGCAATACACATCTAGGAATTTGTTTTATATAATAAAGTTGTTTTTATTTGTTACATGCCTTTATTTTATTATGTTTATATATTAATTGCATATATTTATGTTATACATCTATATTTTATTAATGCTCACCCAAGAATATTTTTTTTCCATTGACTTTTTTGGGACAGTTGGAGGGAGGGAAAGGGGCGGGGGGGGGGGTGGAGAGAGAAACATTGATGTGAGAGAGACACATCAATTGATTTTCTCATGCATAGGTGCCTGACCATGGCCGGGATCAACTTGCATCCCAGGTTTGTGCCCTTGACCTGAAATTGAATCCTCAACCCATTGGTTCAGGGCCGATACTCTAACCATTTCACAACACAGGCCATATTAATTGCATGTATCATATGCATGTGATACATCAACAGCATGTGATACATGCAATTACATGAATTATTTTACTTGTATTAACTCACTTAATCATCATTTCAAGCCTATAAGACATTCCTATTATCTTCATTTTACAGGTGTGGAAACTGAGGCACAAAGGCCTAATAATTTGTCCAAGATAATACAGCTAGTAAGCAAACTTTTATTTATTCTTTTTAAATATTTTTATTGATTTCAGAGAGAGGAAAGGAGAGGGAGAGAGAGATTGAAACATCAATGATGAGAGAGAATCATTGATCGGCTGCCTCCTGCACACCCCCTACTGGGGTTCGAGCCCACACTCAGGCACGTGCCCTTAACCGAAATCGAACCCAGGACCCTTCAGTCCACAGGCTGACACTCTATCCACTGAGCCAAACCGGATAGGTCGTCAGCAAACTTTTAAAATTTGAGGATCATTCTTAAATTAGATGTATACATATCTCTTTCCTTTTTAAAAATATTACTTTAAAGATTATAAGAAGTCAGGAAGGTTATAAACAAACTTTCCGAAATGCAATGGTTTATTTAACTATTCCTATATTTTTAGACATTAGACTTTTTACTGTGGTAAATAACATTGAAAAATATCCTTGTACAGAGTCATCCTCTACATTTTTATTCTTCCTTAGGGTCCCTGAAAGAGAAATTGCAGGGCCAAAGAATATGGGCATTTTATTTCTCAGACAGGTTGGACCCTTTCATGATTCCCCAGCCATGTCTGTCTTAAGAGTTTATATTTGCCAGTTTGTAAGATGAACATGGTATTTTGTTCTATATTTACATAACTTTGATTATTGGTAAAGGTATGCACCTTACACCTTTTACATGTTAATAGAACACACGCTTTTCTTTTCTTTTTTCCGCTTTCCACTTTTTGCTCATCTACTAGAATCACATTTATTTTGTTTTGTTTTCTTCTTGGCAACTGTCACCTTACTTTTGAAAACAGCTAGGAGCTTCCTGACCCTCCCTCACCCCTTCTTCCCCTTAGACTGTAGCTTCTCAAGGGAAGAACTTGTCTGAAACTGAAAACAACGGAAAAGAAATAACAATTGAAAGATGGCAGGCATAAGAGAAACCAGGTGATGACTTTCGAGCCTTTTTTTTTTTTTGCCTTTGTGCATTTTTAAAAAATATATCTTATTGATTTTTACAGAGAAGAAGGGAGAGGGATAGAGAGTTAGAAACATCGATGAGAGAGAAACATCGACCAGCTGCCTCCTGCACACCCCCTACTGGGAATGTGCCCGCAACCAAGGTACATGCCCTTGACCGGAATCGAACCTGGGACCTTTCAGTCCACAGGCCGACGCCCTATCCACTGAGCAAAACCAGTCAGGGCTGTGCATTTTTTTTATCTTTGTGCATTTTTTTAAGATTTTTTTATTGATTAAGGTATTACATATGCAATACCTTTTTCCCCCATTGCCCCCTAATGCCGGGGGTCTTTCCCAGCATCTGGAAGGGTTCAAGAATCTGGAGAAGGAGCTGTGCATAAATTAAAGAGACTAGAAATACATAATATAAACTTGTAATCCACGGGGGAGCCAGAGGAAGCTTAGCTGTAGTAGCTAAGTTCTCTCTATCTCCGGACCCAGGGCTCTTTATTAACACAAATTGCCCTATAGCAAAGCAGATATACATATCAAAAGGTAAGGTTTGGTGTACAGTAGGCACTGTCAGGTTGGGCGGACCTGCCTTCTGCTGTCAGGTAGCAGGCAATAATATATGCAAATCTTTAGGTTTGGGGAAATGCTTTCAGCTATTCCAGCAGCAGGTAATACGTAGATATTCAGCCCTGCTGAATAGGCCCCAAGTTCCATCAACCTTTTGATAAAACTTCTTTCATTTATGACACGCTGGAATTAGCCTCCAGAAGCCCTCCCCCAACCCCAGCACATACCCTCACCCCCCTAGTGTCTGTGTCCATTGGTTATGCTTACTAGTATATGCATGCATAAAGTCCTTTGGTTCATCTCTATCCCTTCCTCGCCACCCTCCCCTACCTTCCCTCTGAGGAAGGTCTGTTCGATGCTTCTCTGTCTCTGAACCTATTTTTGTTCATCAGTTTATGTTGTTCATTATATTCCACAAATGAGTGAGATCATGTGATATTTATCTTTCTCTGACTGGCTTATTTCGCTTAGCATAATGCTCTCCAGGTCCATCCATGCTGTTGCAAATGGTAGAAGTTCCTTCTTTTTTACAGCAGTGTAGTATTCCATTGTGTAGATGTACCACAGGTTTTTAATCCACTCATCTGCTGATGGTCATTTAGGCTGTTTCCAAATCTTAGCCATTGTAAATTGTGCTGCTATGAATATAGGGGTAAATATATATTCTTTCTGATTGGTGTTTCTTTCTTGGGATATAGTCCTAGAAGTGTGATCGAGTCTCTTCTCTGTACTTTTTCAGGTGTGTGTGACACTGTATTTACTCAGACCAACAGGTAGAGTCTTGTTAGTTTATCTGTGAACTACAAAATTGTAGAGGCTTCTCCTTCATCTCTGTATCATCAGTGCCTAAGACAATTTAAAGCATATTATAGAAGATAATTTAATGACTTGTGTTTACTCTTAAATAGATGAATGAGTGAAGATTATATAAAAACATGGAAGCCTCAGACCCTTCTACTGCTCTTAGTGCTGCTTTTTTTTCTTTCTTTCCTCCTCCTCCTTTGTATCCTCCTTCTCCACCATCTGTGCCTTTTTCTTCTTCTTTGATGTTTTAGAAAACTTTCCCTGTGCATTCCTAAGTCCTCTTTCGATACGCGGGTCGTAAGCAATCGATGTTTACCGGGCTTTCCAAATCCTCCTAAACTCAAGTGGATGATTTCCACATCAGGGCAACCT